GAAAGTCATTTAAAGTTTTAAATATATATAACTTATAGTTTAAATAAGTAGTTTAGCTCTGTATTTCAATGCTTAAAACAGCAAGACATGGAATCTAAGGGCCAGCTTTTCCTACCAACCTTACTGGTTCACCATGTTCTTTAGCCTGGAGTGGTGTTGCCTGTACTTGACTATTTCCCAGGGTTGTCCTGTGACTAGAGAGGTCCAAGCATTCTAAATACTGGCCTTACTACATTGTGTGTTAGTCTCTCAGTCTTGTCCAACTCTGTGTGACCCCATGGACTGTATGTAGTCCACCAGGCTCCTCTGTCCATGGGATTCTCCAGGCAAGAATACTGGAGTGGGTTGCCGTGACCTTCTCTAGGGGATCTTCCCAAGCCAGGAATCAAACCCAGGTCTCCTGCATTGCAAGCAGATTCTTCACCATCTGAGGCCTTACTACATTACCAATATATAAACATAGACAAATATGTACTCTTCTAAATAAAACGTTAATCCTGTGGAAGTGTGTGACCTTTTTTACCCATCTTAATGATACCTATTTTTTTCCCCTAAATTCAGATAATTTCCCTCTCAGCTTCAATGGAAATATTTACAATTTGCAATGTCTATTTCCCAGGGATAATTTTACATTTTTAAGTTGTGACTTTTTCATCAGCAGTTTGCCTCTAGCACTGTCTTTCATACAAAGTCTTGTAATTTATCAAACAATAAGATGAAAAGGCTCAGATTTTAGACATCTAAAACCAGTTGGTAATCCAGAGCGTGTTTTTCTCACTTCATCTGATCTCTTTCCTTAACATATAAATTAGATAATTTTTAGTGTGAGTAACTCTCTCTGAACAGAAGGAAAAACTGTTTTTCATCTTGGCTGACTAACACATACAACCCAACCCTGAATTTTTACCCAGTATTTGTCCAGTACACCTGTAAACAGGTCTCCATGGTGTTTGTGAACCCAAGCCCAGTTAGCTTATATGAGACCCTGGATTTAATGAATTCGGAATGTTCAGAGCCTTGTCACTACCGGGCACCCTTCTTAGCAGCCAGAGGTACCACCCTGGGTCAGGGCCAGGAGAAAACAAGAGCCATGTGTACACTGTCATGCAGTCTGCTTGTCTAACCTTTGACGTCAGGAGTGAGGACACGGAGAGGCTGGTGACTCCTGTTCTCTTGGAAGCAGAACAAAAGACTGTCTTGGCACCAAGTAATGGCACCCAGCCTGTTGAGCTGAAGAATCCATAGGTGTTTAGCTGCCTGTATAGGTTCTTACATAGAGGACCAGGTATCATCTTTTGTTCAGGTAAAGTATTTTTTGTTTTTGTTTTGTTTTTTGCATCAGGTGTGAAAATCTCCAACTGCACTGCGTTCCAATCTCTTGGCATAATCCCAGTGGTTCTCTAGTTTCACAGATACAGACTAGATGAAGCAAGCGGGCAGAAAGAGTACAGTGCAGTAGTGCTTTCCCAAATAGCTTTAGGTAAATAAGAATTGATGAGGTTGTCTCATCTTAGTCTTAGTCATGCCTTCATTCTTTAAAGGAGTCCCTTTGTGATATAGATGGTCCTTATAGTAGTAATACCTATCCTCCTCTAAAATAATTTTCAAGACATCTTGATATATCAGTTATTTTTATTGGAAGTATGCCCTTCGGACCCTTGAACAGCACATTAGTGCTTACTCTAGGCCTAGAGATAGTTCTTCCTGAGAGCTAGACTCTGGAGCCAGATGGGGTGAATTGGAATCCTGGCTCTGAGACCAGGATGGTACTTACCTCCTTTCCTCTGTGGTGAATAGCATACAAGTCTTCATAGAGTTATCATGAATGTTAAGTGACTAGTACATGTAAATGCTGAGATCACCCCTGGGACTACATATGCAAGGAGCTTAGTAAATGTCTGCTTCACTATATAAATGCTTCAGAATAGTCTTTTATTCCCTTGAAAGAGAGTAGATGGTGGCAGTAAAGATTTACCTTCGTCATAGAAGTTTTATTGTTTAGTTAATATGAAGCTATCAAGGAAGGAAGGAAGAAAGTAATTTAATCTGGAAGATGATGATTAGAAAAACAAAATAGGAAAGTGTAATGCCAACTTTTTAAGTCCAAGTTGACCTTTACAAAGAACTTCCAAGTCTTAAGCTCTATAAAATACTAACTTCTTTCTCTCATGTTGGGAAGATTGATGTGGTCAGGCAGTGTCTTTCACTGTGGTGATCCAAACACATTCATCATGTGTTTGGCTATGCTAGAGATTTTCACTTCAGCTGCGAGGGTGAGGAAAGGAGGAGAGAAGGCAGAGGAGGAGACAGGTAGTGGCAGGGGTGGGGAGGAGAGAGAGCAGGGGTGTGAGAGTGCGAGCAAAATAGATACAAGAAAGAGATAATGAGAATGAATATCAGCTAGCTTCAAGCTAGCATCTTACAAAGGATTTTAGCAGCCAAGCACAGAAGTGGCAAACACATCATTTCTGTTCCCATTCCATGGGCCACAACTAGTCACATGGCTCCAGCCTACCTACCCAGGGCTCTGAAGAGTCAGTTCTCCCCTATAAAAAGAAGCAGGGTCATCATTACCATCTTTCTAAATTCTATATATATGCATTAATATACGGTACTGGTGTTTTTCTTCCTGACTTACTTCACTCTGTAAAATAGGCTCCAGTTTCATCCACCTCATTAGAACTGAAATAGATCACCAGTCCAGGTTCAATGCATGAGACAGGGTGCTCAGGGCTGGTGCACTGGGATGACTCTGAGGGATGGGATGGGGAGGGAGGTGGGAATGGGGTTCAGGATGGGGAACACATGTAAATCCAAGGCTGATTCATGTCAATGTATGGCAAAAACCACTACAATATTGTAAAGTAATTAGCCTCCAATTAAAATAAATTAATTAATTTTAAAAAAGAGAAAAAGCAGGGTAGATTCCAGCTAGTCCCTGATACAACAGTTAACCCTGTAACATATTTCCTGCTAATGGCAGACACTTCCTACAATTAGCCTATTTGTACACTTCACTGTAAACTATTCCTGACATTCTGTATAGTACCAGGACCAGCAAAGGACCCAAGAGAATGTGCATACATTATGCTTCTTTCTTATTTTAGAAATTTTCAGAAATTCAGGGAATCTTCTGAGACATCTACTTCTGAACATTTTATTGCTGTGCAGTTAGCCAAGAGATAAGGACTCTTGGTGACTATTTTTTTATTTTATTTTTAATTGGAGAATAATTACAATTTTGTGATGGTTTCTGCCGTGCATCAACATGAATCAGCCATAGGTATACATATGTCCGCTCCCTCTTGAACCTCCTTCTCCATCCCACCCCTCAAAGGTTGTCACAGAGCACCATCTTAATGGCCATCCTTGACAGGCAGTTTCCTATTAACAAGAAAGTTTTTATGCTTTGTATACACTGGTAGTCAGTAAATGACAAAAGGTAAAGAAGTTAGTGATCCATTGAAGTTACACGGGACAATCTAAAAGTAGGCTTTTAAAAAAAAATTTGTAATAAAGTTTCAACATAGAAAAAAAAAATAAAAATAAAAGTAGGCTTTTTTTTTTTTTTTGCTGCCCTTTAATATAAGTCTCACTACTGTGGGCAGTGTTTGTACTCAGCTCTGATAGGTGAAGAGTGGGTACCTCGTATCACCAAATAAATTGACATATTCCTGCAGATTTATTAATAATACTTCACATGAGCCATTCTTTTGGATCTACACACATTCTTTTGGATCCACATCTTTTGGATCTAATTGGCCTCTATACACACCAAGCAGTTTATTTTTAAGAGCAAACCCTGGGAGAGTTTATAGCTACGTGGACACACCTCAGGGCCATGCTTAACTAAGCTTTGGGTTAATGTATACCTGACATTTTGCAGTGTTTCATAGTTATGTGGAGCGGGTTTGAATCCCATTTCTTCTGCCAAGTTTCAGGTGTTTGACACCACTGGGAAGCATTATAATGTAATGGTTGGCCATGTGATCTGCAGTATCAAATTGAGTTTGCATCCCAACTCCACCTCAGTCAGTGTATGACCTTGGAAACTTTCACTGTTGCTCTGGTTGCCTAGGTATTTCTGGTAGCAAATATCTGACTGGGTGGCCTCAACAAGAAAGATTTATTTTCTCACACTTCCGAAGGCTGGAAGTTTAAGATCAGGTATTGGAGGGTTGGAGGTGAGAGCCTCTTCCCTTGGCTGGTCACTGGCCGTCTAATCGTGTCTTCACATGGTCTTCCCTCAGTATCACTCAGCATGTGAGTGCCCAGACTTGGGTCAGGGACACCACTAGCCTCACTGACTCAGTCCTTTATCCCCTAGCAGGTCAGCTGCCCAGTCTTGCCAGTTTTTCTTTTGAAATGAACCCAAAATATTTGTCTTTTACAAATAATATGAGTATGAGGATTGTCACATATAAATAAATGAAATAATTTTTAACTGACTATAAAATGATTGGTATATGTACTTTTATGATCATAAAGTCTGAAATATGTCTTATAGGGGTTGGTGGAACATGTTATAAGTAATTAGTTGGTTGCCTGATTTTTTCCTATAAATCTGTGTACCTTTCTATGAAAGAAAGGAAATACCCAACAGTGACAAAAAATATCCTTCCCTATCAGACCTTCCCTGGGAAGAAGGCCTCCATCTTCTAATATTAAATCACCACTTTGTACACATTGTACGTCTTTTATAATCATATTGTACAAGCTAAATATATACAATTTTTAAATATATACAATTTTTATTTGTCAATCATATCTCAATAAAGCCGGAAAAAAATGAAGTTGCTGTTCACGGGTAAAAAATAATACTAATATGTAGAATAATGCATTAGCATCTCTGACTTCTGTTTTCCCTCCATTCTGGCCATTCTGTTGTTACATCTTTCTTCCTTGGTTCTTATATATCTCTTTCTGAAACATATTCTGAAAATCTGAATTTTTTTATTACTTGGCTTTATTTAATTTTTAATTTAATTTTTTTTGGACAGAAAAGAGCAAGTTAGTACCTTGTATCAAAACATCAACCTCGTGGAGCCAAGACTGATTCAACCATATGAACATGTTATAAAGAACTTTATCCGTGAGATCAAACTTCAGAGCACAGAAATGGAAAACCTGGCCATTGCAGTAAAGAGGTATTGAAGTCTTTCCTCTCTCCATGGCAGAAGGGGTCCTTTAAGTGGCTCTCTGACTGAATGGCACAAAGATGAAACACATTATCACATTATGATATAGGAGGACTGCCCAAATCTGAGGAATCTGGAGCCTTCTGAACTAAGCCAGCATGAGGGAAGCTGAGTCTGGCAGTACTTTGTAGGGTCAGCCAGCAGTCCATCAGCATGTCCCCATGTTCCTATCATATAAACCTTTCAAGGGCTGTGATCCATACAAAACTGTTCAAAGAGTTTCATTATGTTATATCCAGCTACTTGAAACCTACAGGAAACTTTTCATCCAGAGAGAGGCAGGCAGAGACTCCATTTGAAGCCTGACCTTGTCACTGACAGAAAATGACTCTGGGTGGGTTGCTTACTCTCTTTGAGTCTCAGGTTCTGCATCTGCAAAGTGAGGCTATAAATTTTCACATCCTCAGGGTGTGGAGACTTCAGGAGTGAGTCATGGGTGATGCCCTTGGCACTGGGCTTACCACATGGTGAGTGCTCAGTGGGGCTCTTTTCCCTCTCTCTAGCCCTCCTCACCAGCTTAAACTGAAAGTCTGAAAACCTCTAGTCCCTGAATCTCATCAGACAGTTTATGAAAGCCACAGCTGGCTCACACAGACTTTCTTAATAGTTTTAACAGCAATGCAGTACCAAAGAAAAATTTATATTTGCAATATAAATATAATTTATATGTTACAATCCAAGCATCAGTGAAAACATACTCACTCCCTGAATATACATGGACCCACACAGATACATGGGGGACACATAGATATACACACATTCACACAGGTGACCTGTAAGGATAGTCCTGTATAAACCCATCGGGAAGAAAGAATGGCGTTCTCTCCACTCTGTTCTCCTTCCCAGCCAGGCCGCTGTCTGCTGTGGAGGGAGTGGAACTCTTGGTGCGTCTCTCCCCTCTACTTCTGTGGGTGGGATCCAAAGTCAGGCTCTGGTCTAAGCACAAGGCCTCTTAAAGGCCGCTTCTCTGAGTTGACAGAAACCTCACTGAGGTGTTTAGGTGATTCCTATAAACATTCTCTTACCTTCTTGACTAAGGACCATCTGTCCTCATGTGTTTTGGGTTGGGGGAGGGCCTCAGTCTTTTCACTCCACCCTTGCATCTGAAGAAGGGATTCCCAGCGTCCTAGTAGGAGCCCTGGACTAAGGTTAAAGTGGGCATTTCCAACATGCTGGACACATTACTGGGAGTTGAGTCTTACTGCCATGGTGTCGCAAAGAGTCGGACATGACTGAGCGACTAAACTGACTAAGTCTTCCTGGGGCAAACAATGTGTCATTATAGACTACCCTGATTTAACCCTCCAAAACAAAAAAATGAAGAAAAAAAGAGTTGTTCAGAAGTGAAGAAGGCAGAGAGGACACATTTGGGAGCAGTCCTGAATGCCCAGATGTTTGGCGCTGGATGTCTAGAAGGAATGGCTGAGGAAAATGAACATACAAAGGGGGAAACAAATGTGTCGCTTAGCTACTTACAGTCCCAGAGCTGACCAATAAAACCTGAAAGTTTCTGTGGAGGTACATGGTGTCTGCATTTGAAATAGCAAGTGTTTGTAAACAGACTAAAACTAGATGACAGTCAGACTTGGTTAACATAACCTCAGCAGGCTGTAAGGTGAGGAGGAAGTTAACAGGAGCAGAAAACAGTGATAAGTCACCCAGAATTTTACTTTGAGGTCTTCCCTCCACCCATCAATGCTTGTTTGGAACCTTATATAGAAATAAACTAATGAGCAAATTGTATGAGAGGGAGTAAATGAATTAAAAGCAGGTAGGAGGGTGTGGTGGAAGCCATTAGACTAGAAGACGAAGGCCTTCTACTGAATCCTGTTTCTCATCAACACCATATCACTGGGGCAAGTAAATTGACTCTAAGTCTCATGGTGGCTGCTTTCAAGTCACAGTCTGGTTGAGTAGGCAAGACATATGCATGTGACATTTTAGATAATTGGATACCGAGCTGAGATTGAACAAAAAAAGATTTTAGGGCTTAATCTGAAGCCTCAATTATTGTAAAGTGACAGATGTCTTCACACTGGACAATTATTAAATAAAACTATTTGAACATCATCTCAAAGAAATTTCCTGTTTCTAACTTTTTGGCAATTCAGTATGCTCTGCCCCCATAAAAATATGATTTATTGATTATATTCATAAAAGAAACAGGAATTTTCTAAAGGGCAACAATATCTACATTGCAAAACTTTAGGAAACTGACTAGAAATAATTTTTGAGATCTTTTTTCCCATTTAACTACAGCATATAGCATTGTGTGTTTCATGTAACAAAATTTCAGAATTGTATCTATCCATGGAGGTTTTTTTTTTAATCCAGCATTGTAGCTCAGCAGCAAAAAAAATTTTCAGAACTTACTAAGAGCCTCTCAGTAACCTGGTATCTTTCTCTGTTCTTTGCTACAGTATAGTTTAATACCATTTAATCTATTCTGTTCCATTTATTTAATATCTAGTTTCAGTGTCCCTTTATACCCAGCTGGTCAAATTGCCAATCTGGGGAATGGGGAATATTATTTTAAATGGTGTGTTTCTCCTCTTCTGTAAAATAGCTTGAAATAGCTGAGGCCAGAATAAATTATCTCGTCATGCTACAAGGCCAAGAGTATAATGAAAAGGTGTGTACCCTCTGGAATTTCAGAGCCCAGGACAAGGCAGCCATGCAGCTGAGTGAGCTGGAAGAGGAAATGGATCAGAGGATTCAGGCTGCAGAACAGAAGACACGGAAAGACGTGAGTTTGTGGGACTGGCCTGTGTATGCGATGCATCCTTGGACTACCTTTTATGTACAGGGCACAGGGCATTCTCTGGGTATCGCACGTCCAGGTTGCCGCAGGCACTCTCAACAAGGGCTTTGTCAGCGGTGGTTTTGAGGGGGATAGATTAAGGAGAAAGAGACAGAGAGGCAATAAGCAGTCAAATAAAAGGGCTAATTTCAGGTGGCAACAAGCTCAGTAAAGAAGCATCATGTGTGGTAGACAGGCTGCTTCAGACTTGGAGGTCAGGGGCCTCCTTGAAGAGGGGACAGGAGAGCTGAGGCCTAAAGGAGAAGGCCAAACACATCTTCGTGGAGGAGGTTGGCTTCACCCTCAATACCACTCTCTCAGCCCATGGCCACTACGGCTTTAAATCTAGATTACAAGGACTTCCTGGGGTCCAGTGACTAAGGCTACAAGCTTCCAATACAGAGGGTCCAGGTTCGATCCCTAGTCAGGGAACTAGATCCCACGTGCCACAACTAAGACCCAGGGAAGTCAAATAAATAAATAATATAAAGTAAAGAAATCTAGATTACAATGAAGTTAAAACACTCTGTTATGATGGGATATGCTTTTAGGAACTCTCATAGTTGGAAGTTGGGTGTTACCTTTAGTGACTTCCATAGGAGAAATAATTGTCTTTCTTCCTTATAAAATATATTTGAATGATTACTATTTACTGAAAACAAAAAAGAGACATATTTCTTTGAGTAGCTAATGCTAGGTTGAACATTCTCTTTTTTCTGTTCATTTTCCCCATTAACTCTGAGAAGGAGAAAATTGAGTGAGAAGGGCCTGGGTATTGGCCTCTGATAGACCTGCAATAGAGGAGACCTGGGTTCAATTCCTAAGCTGGGAAGATCCCCTGGAGGAATGCATGGCAACCCACTCCAGTATTCTTGCCTGGAGAATCCCATGGACAGAGAAACCTGGCGGGCTACAGTCCAGGAGTCATGAGAGTCGGACAGGACTTAGCAACTAAGCTGCAGGCCTTGGTTTGCCTCCCAGCTCTGGCGCTGGAAAAATCACCTAACCTCTGAGCCTTTGTTGTTCCAGCTTTAGATAGGATAAGCCACCAACCTGCTTTAAGGAGGGTGGAGCCTGATGGTCTATATGCATGCCTAGCCCAGTGCTGAGGAGTGGTAGGGGCTCCATGGCCGTTAGCATTCTCCTCTTCCCCATTGCCCTGTGTACCTTATGACTCTTCAGATTCTTCACCCTGCTTTGCTTTATCACATATATGCCTTCAGGCCTCTTTGTTCTCCTGTCTCTTAATAACATGCTTAATAACTGTTTGGATATCATGTAAATGGCTCAGAGTCTATGGTCCAGGGTTAATGTGATGGTTATCTCATTCTTTTATTAGCCCTTTATCTTTCCAGTCTAAAAACAATAACATCCTAATTTTTCTGCCTTTCCCCTCTCCAGCCATTTAATCTGCACTCACTCATTCATCGCACATATCAAGCACATGTTTTGTTCTGCAATGAATCTCTGCCTCATCCAGCTAAGCATTTCCCAGATTGGTTGTTGGTAATAGATACCCAAGCTTCCCAGGTGGCACAGTGGTAAAGAATCCCCCTGCCAGTGCAGGAGACAGAAGGGACGCTGGTTTGATCCCTGGGTAGGGAAGCTCCCCTGGAGTAGGAAATGGCAACCTGCTCCAGTATTCCTGTCTGGAAAATTCTATGGACAGAGGAGCTTGGTGGGCTACAGTCCATAGGGTTGCAAGCAGTCAGACATGACTGAGCACACACTCTCACACACCTGACCACAGACTGCCCCTTATAACTTCACGGTTTGTTCATTATAACATCTTCCTTGCTTTCCTTGGCTGTGGTATAGGGGTGGTGCATACGTGGCTTCCACAGCACCATTGCTGTGTTCCACAGAAGTGGCATAAGCAGCCAGTGAGTCACTGCACAGACACAGTCTCTGAAAACCTCAGCACACGCTGCCAACAGAGCACCTTTGACCCTGGGATGACCCCTGTTTGTCAGTCCGTCCTAGTCTCCTGGTCTGTCTGGAGTAACATGTCTAGGCTGACTGAAGACTTTCCGTAACTTACCTCTACTAAGCAGGTCTCGCCTGACTCTCCACGGCTCATTGTTCTGCTTTCACTCCAGCTGTTTTCTTGGCCTTGCTGACTCCTTTCCACTTTCCTAAACTTGGCAAAGCTCAGAGAAAGCCTCCCCTTCTCCCCAGTGTGCTGCCGTAGTCCTCAGCCACGTTCACCTCCTCCTGACCTTGACTCTTCTTGCACAGGTAGTGTTTATCCCATTGTGTCAATTAGGGTTTTTAAAAAATTATGCTTTAACAGCTTTATGGGGTTGTAATGGGCAGGCAATAAACTGTCTATACTCAAGGAGTAGAATGTGATGAGATTTATGTGTATACTGAGGAACCACCGTCACAGTCAAGGCAATGGTTGGCTGCATTCACGTACTACTTTCCATGCCCTGCATCATGCCTCCCTCTCGGCCCCTCCTTATCAGAACCATTTGGTATCTTCTCCAGTGAAGCATCTGTCTGAATCTTTTGTTCATTTTCAAAACTCCGTTTGGTTGTCTTCTTTTTTCTTTTCACCACACCACAGGGCAAAATGTGTGGGTTCTTAAATCTCCAACCAGGGATCAAATCTGTGCCCCTTGCAGTGGAAGCATGAAGTGCTAACCACTGGGAACCAGGGAAGTCCCTGGTTGTTTTCTTATGATTGAGTTTTAGGAGTTGTTTATATATTCTTATCTGTAAGTATTTCCTCCCAGACTGTTACTTATCTTTGTGTTCTCTTAACAGTGTCTGTAAAAGAGTAGTCATTTTTTGTTTCTTTTTAGCCCAGTGTGTCAGTTTTTTCTTTCATGTATCCTGCTTTTGATATTTAATAAATTTTGCCTAACCCAAGGTTGCAATGATTTTTCTCCCATGTTTCTTCTACGAGTTTTATTGTTTTAGGTTTCACATTTAGGAACCATTTTACAAGGTATGGATCAAAGTTCATACTCTTTTGCATGTGCATATCTAATTGTTCCAGCCCATTTGTTGAAAATACTATCTGTTCTCTGTTGAACTGCCTTTGCACTTTGTCCAAAATCATTTTTCTTTATCTGTGTTGGGTTTATTTCTGGGCTTTCCATTCTGTTCCATAGGGTCGCAAAGAGCTGGACACGACTCGGCGACTGAACAACCATGGCAACAATGCTGGTATTGCGTTGTCTTAATGACTGTTGCTTCATAAATAAGTCTTGAAATCAAGTAAAATTAATTCTTCAGCTTTGTTCCTTTTCAAAGTTTCTATTTTAGGTCCTCAATTTCCATAGAATCAGGTTGTTGTTTGTTGTTTAGTCCCTAAGTTGTGTCCGACTCTTTGCGACCCCACGGACTGTAGCCTTCCAGGCTCCTTTGTTGATGGAATTTTCCAAGTAAGAATACTGGAGCGGGTTGCCATTTACTTCTCCAAGAGTCAGGTTGTCAATTTCTTAAAAAAAAAAAAGTCTGCTGGGGTTCAGCTGGACTTCATTGCATCTATAGATCAATTGGAGGAGAATTGGCATCTTAATAATAATGAATGATCCAAAAATTTGATATATTCTCTGTTTATTTAGGTCTTATTACACTTAATTTTACATTATAAACTTAAAACTTTATTTGAATACAGGACACAGGATATAAAATTCCATAATATGTTAAGAGAAAAAGGAAATTAAGAGATATTTAGGCTCATGAGTAGAGAAGGAAATGGCAACCCACTCCAGTATTCTTACCCGGAGAATCTCAGGGACAGAGGAACCTGGTGGGTTGCCGTCCGTGGGGTCGCACAGAGTCGGACACGACTGAAGTTACTTAGCAGCAGCAGCAGCAACAGCAGGCTCTTGATAGCTACAGCCCCTGACCTCCAAGGGTGCCCTTTTGTTATTCTCTGCACCAGGGGCAACACATATGAGAAGTACCAGCCTGTGAGCAGCACTTTGCATGGAAATTTGCAGTTGGTGTGATTTATATTTAGATAAGGTATAGTGGTAGTGTTAGTCACTCAGCCGTATCCAGCTCTTTGTGACCCCATAGACTAGCCCACCAGGCTCCTCTGTCCATGGGACTCTCCAGGCAAGAATACTGGAGTGGGTAGCCATGCCCTCCTCCAGAGGATCTTCCCAACCCAGGGATCGAACCCGGGTCTCCTGCATTATATGTGGATTCTTTGCTATCTGAGCCACAGGGAAGCCCAGATAAGGTGTAAGCTCTTGGAAAAACAGTGAATGCACCAGGTCTTCCTGAGTCCTGATAACATGATGCGACTCAGGCAAGTGATGGGGCCCTTGGTTGAGCCAGAGCTTTTCATTAAACATAGCAGTGTTTAATCAGCTAGTTAATCGATGTGCTACAGCCCTCTATCCCAATCAAGTAGTGACCTTAGAGGTGTCACCCCAGGTAATGTGTGTATATAGGTTGTGGGATTCCGCAGTTCCTTTGCTCTTGTAGGTTTCCATTCTGGAAGTGCTGGGCATCTAAAGTTTGGTCACTTCCCTTGTGCTTTCTCACCATCTCTGTGTAGAAGATTTGGGATCAGCCTTCAGTTCAGTTGCTCAGTTGTGTCCGACTCTTTGCAACCCCATGACTATAGCACACCAGGCCTCCCTGTCCATCACCAACTCCCAGAGTTTACTCAAACTCATATCCATCCAGTCGGAGATGCCATCCAACCATCTCATCCTCTGTTGTCCCCTTCTCCTCCTGCCTTCAATCTTTCCCAGCATCAGGGTCTTTTCCAATGAGTCAGCTCTTCACATGAGGTGGCCAAAGTATTGGAGTTTCAGCTTCAACATCAGTCTTTCCAATGAACACCCAGGACTGATCTCCTTTAGGATGGACTGGTTGGATCTCCTTGCAGTCCAAGGGACTCTCAAGAGTCTTCTCCAACACCACAAATTCAAAAGCATCAATTCTTTAGCGCTCAGCTTTCTTTATAGTCCAACTCTCTTGGTTTGACACAAAATGTTTCTCACCTATAGTAATTTGAAGAGCCTATTTAAATCAACAAGTTGGTTTCATTGTTTTTTTTCCCCCAGGAAAAACGCAAAGCTGAGGAAGCCCTCAGTGACCTCAGGCGTCAATATGAAACAGAAGTGGGAGACCTACAGGTGACGATAAAGAAACTCAAGAAGGTAGGTATACAGCAGCTGGACTGAGGGATAGCTTCGGTATCTCAGTGTGTCTGAATTTTTAGCAACTAAAAACATAGGGAATCATATTGAAGCTGTGGATGGATCAGATTTCGGAATCAAATTGGACTCCTTGGCAAGAATTTTTTTAACGGCCTCAATTTCTTTTTCTAAGGGCAGCATATCTTTTGCATAAATCTAATGGATATTTCTGATCCCTTGAACACTTGTCCATCATGCCTCAGTTTTCTTTCCATGTCTTTACCAAGTGCCCTCAAGTTCCACGTGTCTGGTGGACTGTCTTCTCATGACAGCAGCAACAGTCTTTCCTGGTCATGTAGTCCTTCACCCAGCTTACTGCAGGTTACATGTGTTCACTGAATATTTATTAAATGAAATGAATATTTCTCTTCTCTGTAGCAAGTTCCAGATCTAGAGGACCCCTGATCAGAGGACAGGGTGGGAGAGAACCTGTTGAAGTGAAAGCAAAGGTGTGATTGGTTTTGGCCTTTGTTGTATTTGTTTTCTAAAGATCAGGGTCCATTTTACTGTGTGGTGTACTGGTAGGTGTTTAACAACAGGCTCTGGAGGAATTCCCCTGTGGTTAGGACTCTGAGCTTCCACTGCAGGGGTCGTGGGTTAGATCCCTGATGGGGGTAAGATCCCACATGCCACACCCGGCACAGCCTAAAAGGGGAGGAAAGAAGGAGGATTTCTGATATTTGCCAATTTCCATAGTATAAATATTTCCACCATTATCAATTTCAAGCTGCCAAGTTGACATCACTGAATGCAGGTTGGGAAGAGATGCTTAAAATAAATAGGCTCTCACCTGCTGATACACATTGTCTCCAGCACAGTATTGGATTCACTTCCTGCATGTGGATTGTCTCCATAAATAATAGAAATATCTTAGCTAAAATGAAAATTGGTACTTAAAAAATAATCGTCCCTGCAAGTGGCACTGTGAGTGTGGGCACATCACTTTGCTTCTCTGATCGGTCATACGATAACCTTTAGTGGTCCTTTCAGTGTTCATACTGAATGATATTAAATAACAACTGTATTTTGTGGGTTGTTGCAATTTAAACCTCTGACATATTAAGAATTCTCCCCAGCATTCTTCTTGGAAAAGTATTATCAATGTCAACCTTATATGTGATTTCCAGAGGTCATTAGAACATAATACAATGCTTGTGTTACAGAATTTTAATGGACCAATCCTTTGCTTTATGCTAGAGTCATTGGAGAAGGAAATGGCAACCCACTCCAGTGTTCTTGCCTGGAGAATCCCAGGGACGGGGGAGCCTAGTGAGCTGCCGTCTATGGGGTCGCACAGAGTCGGACACGACTGAAGCAACTTAGCAGCAGCAGAGTCATAGATTCTCCTAGTCCCTGTCCTTACTTATTTCCATGTCATCCCAAATCATTATACTAAGATAGTGTTTGCAAGAGGAGACACAGAGGGACGTCACTGGTGGTCCAGTGGTTAAGAATCTTCCTGCCGTTGCAGGGACCAGTCCCTGGTCAGGGAACTAAGATCCCACATGCCATGAGGAAACTAAGCTTGCAGGCTGCAACCGCTGAGCCCAAGCACTCTGGAGCCTACCCACCACAACAGAGGTCCCACATGCACAGCTAAGACCTGATGCAGCCAAAAATAAATAAATAAATATTTTAATAAAAAAGAGGAGACACGAGAATTTCTTGCCCTCATACAACATATGATGAAGACCAAAAAGGCACTGAACAGTAAGAATCAGGAGTGATGAGACCTGAGTCTTTATCGAGGCTGTGCTAATTCCTTTCTGTAACACCTAGGACAATTGGCTTCATGATTCTGATGGTTAGCGTCTCGTCTGTAAAATGGGATTAATAATAAACTGTCCTGTCTAACCATAATAACTAACATTTTATTGACTGTGTAGCTTATTAACCTCTTCTTCATTATTTAAGAAAATTGAATTCTCAAACTTTCTCTGAGGAAAGTATAAGTTTCCCACTTTTACAGCTGAGGACGCTGAGTTCCAGGTTTAATAGCTTGTTCAAAGCCTAACCGCAACTGCCAGTGGAGAAGTAGCCCAGACACCTGCGTCCACCACCAGTGAGCGGGGCACTGGGCAGGGAGATGCGGGCTGTATCATCAGTGCTTAGAGTAGGAACTGGGCCTGAATGCTGTGAGGGCAATCTGAGGAAGCTAACGTAAGGCAGCAACCCGAACTGTGGGATCGCCAGAGAGAAAAAAAAAAGAATTCTCCTGCAAAAGCTCTAACGTTCGGCCTCACAAAACAATGGATTGAACAAATACCAAAGGAGAGCTAGCCAGCCTGCACACAGGTCCCTTCCCCCCACCCTCCTGGAGACAGAGAGGCAGGCATGTGGCAGCCAGAGTTGGAAGGCAAGGGGCTGCTGCAATCTCAGCCCCAGAGACCACATCTTCCACCAAACTGAGCAGGCTTCCAGTTTCTAACCATGTCTTCCTGGGATCCTGGATGGTTGACATCCACCAGGAGGGTCACAGCCTGAGATCAGCTCCCTAGAGGAGACACATGGCATGCCTGAGACGCTGCTCTCGCAGAGCCCCTCGAGTGGCTGGGGCCAGGGAGGTGATTAAGATGCACGGTGCCCCGGGACAGTGCACTCGCCAAGCAGCTGATCACCTGAACTGCTTGGACCTCGGAAGGGCGCAAAACACTCACCAGTCCGTGTCTGTGCCCTTGCAGACTACACGAGAACCTGACTGGCTTAGACCTGGGAAGTGCGCGAAACGTAGGGCCCACTTCAGACAGTGCCCTTGCAGAGCACCCTGGAGCCTGAGCAGTGCAGACCCGCAGCACATGCCGCCTTGAGCTGCGGCAGACCCAGTGTGGTCCATACACTGCAAGCACTTCCCACACTCGCCAGCTATATTTGTTTGCAGTGTCCCTCCCTCCCCACAATACAACTGAACAAGTGAGCCTAAATAAGTGACCCCCTTTCCCCCCTTGTGTCAGGGCGGAAATTAGACACTGAAGAGACTTGCAAACAGGGGAAGCCAAAATAAACAAACAAGAGGGAACTGCTCTGGAAGTGACAGGTGCAACAGATTAAAACCCTGTAGTTAACATTGACTGTGCATTGGAGGGGGCCTATAGACCTTGAGAACAAGTACAAGCTGGAACAAGGAACTATCTTAAACTGAACTGACCCCACACTGCCCATAACAGCTCCAGAGAAATTTCTAGATATATTTTTACTGTTATCACTTTTTAATTTTTTTTAATTTAAGTTCTTTTATTATTCCTTTAATTTTCATCTTTATAACCTATTATTATTATTACCTTGCAAAAAAAGACCCTATTTTCAAAGCAAATTTCATATATATTTTTTAATTTTTGGATTGATTTTCTTTTATATTTTTTATATTGTATTTTTGAGGGTCTAACCTCTATTCTAGATTTTTAATCTTTGCGTTTTGGTTATGTGTTATCAATTTTATACCTTTAAGAATCTAATCTTCAGTATCCATTTTCACTTAGGGGTGTGATTACTGGCTTGATTGCTCTCTCCCCTTTTGACACTGCCTTTTCTCCCCCAGGTCACCTCTATCTCCTTCCTCCCTCTTCTCTTCTGTACTTAACTCTATGAATCTCTCTGGGTGTTCTGGGCTATGGAGAACATTTAGGGAACTGATTACTGACTAGATTTCTCTCTCCCCTTTTGATGCCCACCTTCTCCTCCTGGTCACCTCTATTTCCCTCCTCCCTCTTCTCTTCTCCATGTAATTCTGTGAGTTTCCCTAGATGTACTTCCATGTGGAGAATTGTTTCACTATTAACCTAGGTGTTTTATCATCTGTGCTGTATGGATGGAGAAATCTTGAGGTTACTGTAAGAGAAGGACTGAAAGCCAGAGGCAGGAGGCTTAACTCCAAAATTGAGAACATCAGAGAACTCCTGATTCCAGGGAACATTAATAGACAACAGCTCACCCAAAAGTCTCCATACCTGCACTGAAAACCAAGCTCCACCCAAGAGCCAACAAGTTCCAGTGCACGACATACCATTCTGATTCTCCAGCAAAGTAGGAACATAGCCCTGAGCATTAAAAGACAGGCTGCCCAAAGCCATGCCAAACCCATAGACACCTCAAAACTCACTACTGGACACTTCATTGCACTCCAGAGAGAAGAGACCCAGCTTCACCCACCAGAACATAGACGCAAGCTCCCCCAACCAGGAAACTTTGACAAGCCACTAGTCCAACCCCACCCACAGGGAGCAGGCTCCACAATAAAGAAGAACCATGAACTTCCAGCCTATGGAAAGGGCACCTGAAACACAGAAATCTAAACAAAATGAAAAGGCAAAGAAATATTCAGCAGGTAAAGGAACATGAAAAATACCCACTAAACCAAACAAAAGAGGAGGAGATAGGGATTCTACCTGAAAAAGAATTCAGAATAAAGATGATCCAAAATCTTGAAAACAAAATGGAGTTACAGATTATAGACTAGAGACAAGGATTGAAAAGATGCAAGAAGTGTTTAACAAGGGCCTAGAAGAAATAAAGAAGAGTCAATCAAAAATGAATAATATAATAACTGAGATCAAAAGCACTCTGGAGGGAACCAATAGTAGAATAACTGACGCAGAAGCTAGGATAAGTGAGGTGGAAGATAGAATGGTGGAAACAAATGAAGCAGAGAGGAAAAAAGAAAAAAATTAAATGAGAACAACCTTAGAGACCTCTGGGGCAATGTTAAATGCTCCAACATTTGAATCACAGGTGTCCCAGAAGAAGACAGAAAGGGCATGAGAAAATACTTGAGGAGATAACAGTTGAAAACTTCCCTAAAATGAGGAAAGAAATAGACACCCAAGTCCAAGAAACCCAGAGAGTCCCAAACAGGATAAACCCAAGGCAAAACACCCCAAGACACATATTAGTCAAACTAATGAAGATCAAACACAAAGAGCAAATATTAACAGCAGCAAGGGAAAAGTAACAAATAACACACAAGGGGATCCCCATAAGGATAACAGCTGATCTTTCAATAGGAACTCTACAGGCCAGAAGGGAATGGCAGGACATACTTAAAGTGATGAAAGAGAAAAACCTACTATACTATAGTAATTACGACTATATAGTATAGCAGTACTATATGTAGTACTATATATAGTACTGTAGTATATACAGTAGATTACTATACCCAGCAAGGATCTCATTAGACATGAAGGAGAATCAAAAGCTTTACAGACAAGCAAAAGCTGAGAGAATTCAGCACCACCAAACCAGCTCTTCAACAAATGCTAAAGGATCTTCTCTAGACAGGAAACACAGAAAGGTGGT